ATATTAAAGAGATTATTGGAGTTAGCTCAGCCGCTGGGGTCGATGCCCGTCTCGGCTTCCCTGTCGGCAGAATGTTCTGGATGAGATGCCGCTCTTTTCTTAATTCCTGAAGTCCCTGCACTTGTCACTGTCACTGACTGGTTTTGGGCCATTTTCAGGTTCCACCCACTCGGTAGCAGAATGTTTGCTTTAAGTTTGTGATGTGCTGTTTGTTCTCCGGACGGACAAAGAGTGCGGTTTGACCTGGCGAGTGCCGTCCTTTCTCATGGTCCGTGCGTGGCCCTGCATTGTGAATGTGAGAGTGCGGGCCTTTCTTCCACCGCTCTGGTCAGTATTGTGTGGGGTACTGCAGTGGCTGATTTAAAGCTTGTGGTCAGAGGGACAGGTGAAGGTCAGGGAAGCAGAGGTCAACTCCCGGAACATCCGATTTACTCAGCCTGAACATGCCTGCAGTCACAGATGGAGCCGTAATGACCCTGAGGAGGCAGCGGTCTGCTGGGCAGCAAGCCCACTGTCACTGTGAGAACCTGCATGATGTAGAGCCGGCTCCAGGTCTAACAGGGGCCTGGGTCCGGTTCAGTTTGAGACCCTCAAATGGAGATGATCAGTTTCTGCATCATTAACATGTGCAGCGTGGGGTCAGTTCCAGTGATTCTTCCTGGCGTTTGAACCAGGAACTCCACAGACATGGTGCATGAACAGGGTGCAGGTTAAAATCCCTTTGCACCTACAGAGGAACATTCATGTCCTTTATGTTAATATTGTTCACATCTGCACAGAGAGAATGTATTTATTATTTCTGTGTGACTAAATTATTGATATATATATTTTTTTACATCCCTGTCGACGGCCATTCAATAAGAGTCAGTGTGTTTCAGTTTGATTCTCTGCACGGGGGGCACGCCGATGAATAGGCTCAGCTACAGAACAATATATGCATGTGTGTGTGTGTGTGTGAGTGTGCATGAGAAAGACTTGGTAAGTGAGTGAATGAATGCATAAATGGATGAATAGCAGCCTGTAGCTGTCACATTAGCCATGGTTGGGAGTGTTAGTGGGCACGGGGTTTTGATTGGATAAAACAAGATGTCAGAGTAGAACCCCTGACTCCTTCTCTCTCGCTCCCTCTCTCTCTTCTTGTGGTGACAAAGGGAGTCCCTCACTCCTTCCCTCTCTGATGTGCTTTGTGACTGGGTGACAGGACAGTGAAGGTGTAGGTGTTGGACTCTGACAATAGGCCGCGAAGACAATCATCTTCCTGCTTAGCAACGAGTGTGAGCTTTTAAAAATCTTTGAAGAAGGAGCATTCACTGCGGACCCAGACTCTAACTGCTGCCGCCATGAAGTCTTCAAATGTGTCAAGTGACTTTGTTGTTTGATGTATACAAATGTGTATATATATATATGTGTAAATATATATGTTGTTGACTGGGTCCTAGTGGATCAGAGAGATGTACAAACAGACACTGAGAACAGATGAGGGCTCTTCCCAGTTTAATTTTGGAAAAATACACAGATTAACATTCTATATTCATAATTATGGAGAAGAATGTAGTGATTACTGAGTTGGAATTTAAGAGACATACGTACGTCCTTGCCTCTTTAAAGACAATGTTTACAGGAAGTCACTGCGTGTTTGGAAAAGCTCTGTCAAATCAGATTTTTCAAAAGTCAGTTCCTCATTTCTTTGCAAACATTGACAATATTTTCAGTGTCATTTTTAAATTCAATTCATTTTCACAATTTGGACAAAGCTATTTTCAGTGTCATTTTTAAATTCAAGTCAATTCATTTTCACAATTTGGACAAAGTTGCAGCAGAGCTGTGTGCCTGTAACACCAAGTAGCCTGAAACATGTTTGTTCAAACACCCAGACAAATGCACTTCAGTGTTGACTCTGTGTTCAACCTGCAGTTGTCCATTAACTGATTAACATGATAGTGTCAGTAGTTACATGTGTGAGTGAGTGTGTGAGTGTGTGCAGCCCCCGTCTCATCAATGAACCCCGTGATCAGTGTTGGTGATTAAGCGACGTGCACAGTTTAGCCTTTAGCCTGTTTGTCACTGCGGCCTCTGCTCACTGCCACATTTTTCCTGAATCATTCTCAAGTCAGACGTCCTGCAAACAGTTAGCTACGAACGACCATAACATGGCCATTGATTTTCCACCCGCTGCCTCTGTACTCACACGTGTCACTTCCCTGAAAAAAGTGCATTTACCACCAGTGACACTTACAGTTGTACGGGTATGTTTTCTCCAGAATGAAAATATAAAAATAAACGTTTAGCTGTTTTCCTGTAATTATTGGTGTTACGAATCAATTTTGTAGAAAACGTTGGGCTGTAGCTCAAAGGTCTGCAGAAAATATAACCATACATCATTAAAACTTAAAGGAATAACAATAAAACATAAGGAATATAACAACAATATATGTGCATAGAAGAAGCGTTTGGAGTGGAGCCACGAGGAGACCAGATGTTTCCTCAAGGATGAAGGTCTTTGTTAGTGAAAGGTCAGCAGAGAGCCGGCCTGTAGGAAGAGTCTGCTTCAGCCCCACTAACACTCATTCATCCTACACTTATCAATGTGTCGCCTCCTCCTCCATCAGTACTTTCACGCCTTTATCTATTTGTGACTTTCTGTGCAGGTGAAAGCCACGACATTGTAGTGGGTTACAGAGGTTCTATCAGCAGGACTGTTAAACGGAGCTGTCTTTCATCCGTGAGGGGGGGCAGCCTATTAGCATTGCCACCTAACTCCTAAATATGTTTTCATTCACTTTCAGGTGTGTGTGTGAGTGTGTGTGTTTTCTGTCCTCTATCATTTCTCTTTATTTAACTGCCCTGCTTCATCTCTTTATGCTTAGCTTCTTTTTGTCCTCTAATGGTTAGCCTGGTCTTTTGATTCTTAAAGGTTTCTCTGAAGTGGTACTTTAATACATCACGTCTACAAATGGGGTCAGGGCACACTCTAGAAATGACCCGGAGGTCCCCTGACTCTTCAGTCTTGTCCACATTTGATCTTCTTTGTAACATAAGACAAGACATCAGCGTATTTTAGATTTCTGCATCTTTTATACAGGCATTAAAAATAACTTGCTTCATCTCATCTGTGTCTTTTGTTACATAGAGAGAGTCTGGTTACAGGCCCGTCAATCCTGAGAGGAATCTAAAGATGAAAAATATTTTTACAGTTTCACATACTTTCACTGTAAAAAAAAACCCACACACACACATTGAGACCATATTCTTTAAAACCCAGTGTAACAGTGTAATGAGCAGTTCAGACTAGAAGCGTCCTTTTTTATCTCATCCTTATCTGGTTGTCAAACTAATTTGTCAAATTTAACCCCTGCTTGCTCAAGAAGCCATCGGGGTCACAGCACAGGAGCGAAGCCGTCCCTCACAGTAACTGCTTCCCCTTTGAATTACAATTTAATCAATAAGGAGAATTAAAAAGTAAAGTACAGAAGTAAAACAATACTAAAATAATAATAATAGTTTAATAATAAAAAGAGGATCAGCAGTCTTGTCAGGCTTTGGCAGCATTCCAGAATAACTTTGGCTCATTATCAGTATTTGCTGTTGGTTCTGCGAAGCAACAGCGTAAAGGTTCAAAGCCACCACTTATCTTCGCCCATTCACCATGTGTTTTGGCCACTTCAGTGTGCAAGCATGTCAGTCATTAACCAGCTGTGTGTTTTTACTGAGAGAGATGATTACAGCTAATAAAATCCTCCCATATCTCTCGCCTGTTGGTAAGTTTTACCGTAACTCTGCCTCAAGGCATCTGTTCTATATCTGGTGTTGGACGGAGCGAATCAACTGCACAACTGTGATAGTCACTGTATGAAGAGGAGGAAGAAGATTTGACTTGATATTCATTCATGACTTTGATGTGGAAAACAAATATTTATATTTATGTTTTTTAGATTCCAGAATATGACATTTAATTTTCAGGCATCGGGGTTGAAGCATATTGTCGATGTGTGGAAGACCCACATGAACATCAGAGACTATTGAGATGTCCAACATAAGGTGCACAGAAGAGCTCTTTTCTCAGGCTCCTTACTATTTTGGCAAACTGTTACAAACTTGTGTAGAGACTTTTTCTATGTTTAGAAGAATGCGGATGTTAAAATGTGTCAGGTGATCTGTGTAGTCAAAGTCTCCGGTGAGCTGACCACCAGCAGTCTTTCCTGTTCTTGCAGATAATGTTGGCCCCAAAAAGTGTGGACAAACATCAAGGGTTTAATGACTGCCCAATGTGTGAACAACTCAGCAGTCAGTGACGGATATGATGTATGTCGGTCTTCTTAATCTTTTTTACTGGAGCCCTTGAGGTGGCGGGCCAAGTTACATAAGCATGCTGGGCAGCAGTCAAACATTTGTGCTAGATAAAGAAACCCTTGGAAGCTGACAATCCACCTGTATGTTGTTTGTCTTCTCTCACGGAGCTCCCACACGCTGTGTCACACTGTCGTTCGTGTACAGGTGTTGTCAAACAGCGGCTTGTTTGCAGTCTCTGCTGAATGAGTGAATTGATATACAGCAGCATAGGTGTGGGGCCGCAGACAAGATGGCTGCCGCTCCTCTCAGGAACCCGGGAGCATTTGAGTTTTCTTAGGTCCTAAAATGACTTCTTTTACGTTTAGCTGACTGCACTCTGTAAACACACTCCCTCCCTCACCCCCCCTCTCTCTCTGCCTCTTGCTCCCTTTTTTTTTACTTTTATTGAGTGCAGTACATTAGATACAAAGGGTGCAATTCACTGGATCTGTTTTGTCAGGGTGGATAATGTACCTCATACTGGTGCTCGCTGTCACTCAGGCCAGTGCTTCATAGAGAGCCAACAATGGCAGCTGGGCCTGTCCACCCACAGACATACCCACCCTGTCAGTCTCTCTCTCTCTCTCTCTTTTTGCATGTGTACAGGGGCCATTAGTCAATCCGGTTAGTAATTGGACAATGGTCTGATCTCCACATATAGGGAAATACCACATTTACACTTGCATCCACACTTGCGGTCAATTTAGAGTGAACAGTCAACACTAAGTATCTAAGTGACAATCCTTCATGCTTTGTGTGGGAGATGGGTGAAAACCAAAGAACCTGGAGAAAGGACCACAACACTGACCCCAGCACTGACCACTATGTCATGTGTAGCCCACTTTTTTACACTTACAGTTAATTTTTCTGAAATGTGTGAAACAAGATATTTATCATCTAGTGGTGCTGACTTGGAAATGATGGTGACAATCAACTTTAACTTAGTGTTTGGTGTAGTACACTGAAAAAAGGGAATACCTTTGAATTTACACACATGAATTTAGTAAAAGCAACTAAATTAATTTAACGTGGTTTAAATAAGTAGACTTAACTTATTTATAGAGAATGTCGAATGTAATAGTTGCTTTCTAGTTGACTGAAATTGATCGAATAATAATAATAATAAACTAAAAAAAAAACAAAAAAACCCAAATTTAATATAATCGAGTTCAGTCTCAGTGTCGTTAATCCCTCCGGAACGAAAGGTAGCGCTAATGCGCCGGTAAAAAAATAATAATAACAACAGGAAGAAGACCAAATAAACACCGCGAAAAAATCTTCATTTTTTCGGCAAGAAGTCAACGAAACAATCTGTGAAAAGGTAAATTCTTGAAATGTATATATGCTCCTGTTCGAGTGAGTTGGGCGACGGTCCATTTTAGCTCTGTTTTTAAATAAAACAATTACTGTCTGTGGACATTATCTACTGTAGCTATGTGTGTACATTTGCATTTCATAATCGGGAGCGTTAGCTGCGCTGCTAATGTACTGTTGACGGTTAGCGTCAGTTGAGTAATTCTGATTTTCTGCTCCCGGGCCCGTTACTGACCAAGGTGCTGCAGCCGGGGGAGAGCAGCTGAGAGTGGATTTCGCCTCTGCACCAAACTGTGAGTATCGCGGGTGGGGGGAATTAAGGACTTTGATTAAGTTGAGGACACATGTTAAGCAATGTGTGTGTGTGTGCGCGCGCACGCGGGGGCCCCTGTCTTCCCTCCATGGCCCCTGTCTCTCTCAGTTTGGTTTCATTGAGTGCAAAAGGCTTCAGTGGTGTTTTGTGGCCGCAGATCATATTTAAGCAAAGAAAATCAGCACTTCTTTCTGTAAAATGAAAGGCAGCTTTTTGCCTCTACTGGACCTGGTCCAGAACCTTTTCAATACAGAAGGAGCAACAATGGCCTCAATAGCACTCGCTTTTGATCAGGTTGGCAAAACGACACAGAAAAAACAAGAAAAAGAAAAAAAAGTGGTGGGGCAGAGGGAGGAAGGAGGTGGAAACACGAACCGAGTTGGTGTCTGAAGTCATGCTTCATAAACATGAGTTCAAGTGAATGCCAACCGCTAACATTCAGAGGCAATGGGGTGTCAGAGCCAACATTTTAGATTAAACTTAGCAGTTCCAACTGTATCTGTGTTTGTTTGTTTTTTATACAGTATGTGTGTCTGTGTATGTGTTTAATATTCATATGACAGCCACCAGTAAATGTAATATTTCTGAATTTGTCTTCAAAAGAAATCTCAGCATCTTCATGTGTGCTTCCTCCAGCTCAGCCTTCAGTCCAATAGATGGCGCCTCTGTGTCTGCACCTTATGTGTTAGCATAGATTTTTACTGTTAGAACATCATTAATGACTGTTTATGACTAAAAGACTGTTCGTAATTTTCTAAAGTAACATAAACTCCAGTGTTTGTCATTTTGTTGTGGACGATGCGAGACTACAGTCGGAGGAAACGGTCAGTTTTCTGGAGGAATGCAGGAATTCCCTTTATTATGATAAGTGGTGACTTATTGGCAGGCAGTTTATTGACATTTGTGAGGGAGTAGGTTGAAGGTGGGCGGTACTTGAATGGGTTACAGACACAACTCAGTGCTTTGCATTTGTAAATGAGGTTCTCTTAGTTTTAACCGCCAGTTATTCGCAGTCCGACCCTTCGGTCAGAACCCGTGAGGACAAAAAGGTTTTCCTAAATGTTTTAATATCACAAAATACATTTGTACTGGGACATGGTTGGTAAGACAGCCTTGTCCATCCCTGGCTGCCTGTTTATTGCTTTGGGGTGTTTTTAGAAAATGCAAAGGTATAATTCCATTCACTGCAGAGTTCCCTGGACTCTATGCAGGGATGAATAAGGACCACAGTGTCTGGAACTGGCCACCAATAGCCTGCCAATCAATTTGTTTAACTCCCCAGGCGAGGGCAGTGATTGGTGGACCCTGCACACACACTCCCTTCCTGCCAACAAAGCAGCCCATATGCCCTCCCAGCAGGGACTCGGCCCTAATATTGGGGCCCGAGCATTTAGAGACCCACTTATAGGAATTTGGAGCAAATACGATGAAAGGACTACCAACATTGTATTGCAGCAGTGAGCAAATGGAGTGGAATGCACATTCAGGGTGTCAGCCATCACCCTGCACTGCCTACAGCATACTGCACTACTGACAGTTACTAATTCAAAGTATGCAGTTTCAATTTGTTCCAGCAGTCATACAGTATGGAATCATTAACGCTTAAGAAGATCAGTCTGAGGTTTTAAGTGGAGTCAAGAAAAATCGTCTGTACAATTTAGGAAAATTAAAGAAATCAAGAAATAGTTTATTTGAAACATTGTGCGATGGACAATGTTTATGACTGAAATAGTTTGATTTCTTTCTTTTTTTTTATGGTTAGTGCAATTAAATGCATGTATTGTTTGTTGAAGAAACCCCTCAAAAAAGGGACAAAGCCGAAAGGAAAAGAAGAAGAAGAAGTTTGTTAAAGAAACACTGTTTTCTGTAAGATGAAATTCTCTTTCTGCTGTACATAAACATTGACAATAATGTGGGGAGTAAATGAATAATAAAAGAAAACATAAAATGTGAAATATGTAGAAAAACCAAAAATATGAATATATTGTAATTGCAGGAAAACTTCAATTAAAGGACAATATAAAATAAAAATAAATCCAACGAAAGCCACTTGTGAAAATACATGTAAATTGTAAACAGTACAAATCTTGTCATGCAACTAGGCATACTAGTGTATATATTGAGTATATTGTGCATATATAAACGTGTGAACAATTGCCAATATAGTATAGACTGCAAATATATAACTATATATCTGTCTGTATATACGTACATAAACATAAATGTGTGCTTTTGTGTTATCGTAACTATTCATGAGAATTGACAGGAATTAACTGGTCCCAGATTTGCTTTAAGATTAAAATAATGAGCAATAATCCACTTTCACACACAAAATATTAAGTTGTATAGCTACTAGATTTTACCCAGCAACAATCAATTTGTTTGGCCTTAAAGATCACATGACAAAGTCTCTAATAAGATTACCGTCAAATCAGTGAAAAAACAGCACTGAGACTTTCAGCTCTATATTGTCAGTCCTTAACAACATGATAGGTGCATGTATTAAATCTGCATGGCTTAACCATTTACCATGGATTAGTATATCTGACAATGTGAGAGTCAACAATCAAATCTCAAGCTTCCAAATTGGTTTTCTTCAACCTTCTGGTATTATTTTTCAGATTATTAAAAATATCAAGCCAATTACTATCTAAGCACCTACACATATTGAGACAAATGGATTTGAGAGGATTTGCGGAACAGATTATTACTCTGAAAACCATCGCTTTTGCATCTGTGGCTCTTTTGATGCCCTTTAGTTTTGCTGATCACAAAGCTGATTGTTTTTTCACAGCAAACCTATTTGGAAATAGTTGTTAATCTGCTTCCCCTGTAGAGTCTGTTTCTCTCAGACATAATCTGCCCGAAGTCTGATTGAGCTCCATAATCCCTAGATGAGGAAATGTCCAAACACCCCCTGTCCTCTGTTGGATATCCGTGGTGGTGGGTGGATGTGTGACCCCACCCCTCTTGCCTCTGGCATAGCTTCCTTACTGTATGAGTCTGCCCTGGGGGCTCAACAATATGCTTATATTTTTGTAATTAATCAAAGCTTGAATCTGTGTTTCTGGAGCAGAACTGCCTCAATGGACTCTGGGACTTTAAATTAATGCTGATGCAGATGCTATTTTTTAGTCTTTGTTTTTTCTACTCTAACATCATTTACCAAAAAAAAAAAAAAATCAAGCTTCTATGTCCTATTGCCCTTGTTTCAGGTCACAACTCATCACCCTGTCCATCTCTGATTATGTCCTATTGCCCTTGTTTCAGGTCAAAACTCATCACCCTGTCCATCTCTGATTAAAGTGTTATTTGAGGAACAGAGTTCATTTAATCCTACGTACAGTGGTAGCAGTTAACCAGGATAATTTGCAGGAGTAACCCTGAAACAGTATGTGGAACTGTTGAGTACCAGTGTATAGAAACCGTTTAGATGCAGTGATGTGGAACTAATTGACAGCGGGGCCACACTAGGAATGATTGTGTGTGTGTGTGTTTGTGCATTTGGGTGTGTGTGGGTGCATGTGCATTTGTTTGCTTGTATTTGTTAAATTTGTTTGTGTCTGTATATGTATATATAATACTAGGTTAATTATTACATCAAAATAAGTATTTAAAAAATATTTTAAATTTCACAACAATTTGCTAAAACTATTAATTGTTAGTTAGACCTTTAGTATCTGTGCTTCAGATTAATTAAACAATATAAACTCTGTGTTAAATATGTTGTATTTATGTTATTTTAAATCAATAATAACCCAAGCAAAGAGAGTCAGTGAAACACCAAGTTAATCCGGGTTGGTTTCATTCTTCTAGGGTGGATAAGTATGGTCTTACATATGTACAAAACGTAATTAGCTCCTGTTGATACACATCTCTCTCACAAATGTATGTATAAACTGTTCTGATAAATTATAATAAAACATCCTGACTCCATATCATGGAGCTTTCCTGATATCCTGACTCCATATCATGGAGCTTTCCTTTACCCACAGCACCCTCTTCTGGTTGTGTGGTTTGGAAACTCATTCATCCATCTTCAACTGCTTTTTCTTTTCAGCGTCGCTAGAGGGAGCTAGAGACAACCCCTGCGGGCAACGGGAGTGGGCGGGGTACACACTGTCCAGTCCATCACAGGGCCACGTGACTAAGCACATGTGTGTATGCTTACAATTAAACCAATGATCATTTTAGAGCAGGCAATTAACCTGATCCTGTATTAATGTCAGATTATGGAACAAAATGAAAGAACATGGAGAAAAAACACGTACACAATTGGAGAATATAGAAAACTCTAAAATAGAAGACCACCAGTTAGTGGTACTAGTAATCTATTTGCAATAAGGGAAGACTACTAACCACCCTGACCCCGTGTGGCCAAAATGAGTATAAACTCTATGGTGGAGATTCATATGCTGGGAGACGTGACAGTTTTGTTTAACAATGCAGACAATGGGCCATCTGTGGTAGAGAACAATGGAATTGTCGTCATTGATTAGTCGTTAGCACACAAACACACTCCAATAACACAGACTAGATATTCTCTGTTTCTACTAAACTTGCACTTTGCATAATTTGAATCAAAGTATAAAATAATTTTATATTTAATTTTACACGAGAGAGGGGGGAGGAGATTGTCTCTCTTAAAATGCTATCTTTAAAAATATACATAAAAGAGATATTAAATTAACTCAATAAAATAACCTGCTAAAAATAATTATTTGATCACACAAATGTAATATGAAAAAGTATTTAGAATAATCTAACATACTCACACACCAAGTTTGCAGAGCACACCATCAATAATATGAATTGAAGTATAAGATAATGTGCTGTTAATGGAGTTCATGCCTTGTTGTGGCTGCTAAGGTAAAGAACCTATTGTTTTTTAGTCACTGTTGCTGTAACTTCTCTGGGTCAAAGGGCACCAAGGGATGTTTTTAATTTGATTTTTCATTTATGATAAATATAGCAAATCAAGCCTTATCTTAACATCCCTTAAATAAGTAATTTATTGTGCTGATGCTTTGACTTTGACAAGAAAAATATATATTGTTGAAAGCACAGCTCTGCTAACTGGATCTTTGAATGGGCCCATACTAACCTGCTGTACATGTACTGTATGGATTTGTCTTGGTAGAAATGAAGCATACTGCAGTGTCCAGTGATGCTGATGGAGAGGAGGGAACAAGAGATGCAGGAGGAGAGGAGAAGCAGTCTGATGGTTGGGGGTAAGGAGGGAGAAAGAAGGAGGAGACTAGATAGGAGGTAAGCCTTACTGCTGCTGCTTTGACTGTGTGACTCATCCCCCAGTCCCTTTTCATTCTCACATTGGTGCATTCTCAGTGTACACACACACACACACACACAGAGAAGCAGCTCCGCCTCCTCTGCAGTGAACAGCTAGCTAAAGCAAGGGCAGAAATGGAGGAGCCTGCAGTGCAGCAGGAAAAAATAGATGGCTCATTGGAAGGAGGAGGAGGACGTGATGGAGGAAAGGCAGACTGGAAGAGCGACTGTTCTCTTTCCTCTCTGCTTAAACACTCCTGTTTCCTCTGCTGGTCGTCGCCCTGGGACAAAGATACCGTCGGGGAAACGGATGAGGGTGTCCTTGCCAAGGTGGCAGAGATCAGAGTAAGAAGACCACGGCATCTGGCATTGGTGTGTGGTGTGTGTGTGTGTGTCAGTAATTTGTACTTTGTGTATTGTTTACCTGTGGCTGTTTTCTGCATAGTGTTGTAGTGTGGTCTTAATTAGTGTGTGTGTGTGTTTGTGTGGTGTGTGTAATATATTTTTCAGTTCAGGTTTAATATCCATCCATCCATCCATCCATCCAAAACCGTTCTTGTGTGATCAGGGTCCTGCCTGAATCTCCATTGTTGGATTATTCACTATACAGTGACACTGTCATATACTGTAATGTCAGATGTTTGGTTGTTTAAAAAACCATGAATGAATAATGACTGTCCAACTTCCAGGTCTTCGTTCATCTTCTGTTTTTGTTTCTCAACATCATTTTCATACACAGTTAACTAAAGCCCAAACGAAATTTTCACCTGTAATTTAACATAGTTGTAATTTACCAACTGAGCACAAGAAGCAATATCTGATCTCCACGCATGTATTTGTTCGCAGTACAATGACATGATCGGTCTTGACAGTCTTGACTTAATAAACCATGGGATGGCTGTACTTGGCGATTCAGTTTATACTGTGGGTCTTGAACTCAAACGGCCTGAGGCCAAATCTTACATCATCCATCATCGCTGTTCTATTTTGAACAAACTAATATAATGTTGCATAACAAGTGCTACAGAAATGGGCAATATATCAGACAAATTTACAGCTCACTTACAGGGGCCTGATTTTCACCTTCATCACATTCAATGTAAATTAATTCGATCTTTATGCAGTTATGACATTCCACAAAAAGCAATAAAATATATATTTAGATATCTTTATTCATATTATTGTCATGTCTTTCTGTTTGAGACATGCTAATGTTAGCGTTAGATTGTCATAAACCGTAATTAAATAACTTCCATGGAATGTTACTTTGGCCATAGGTATGAATGTGAGTGTGAATGTTGACAAGGTAACAGAGAAATATTTACATGATTCCATACTAGCAGTAACTATCTACTTTCTGGAATAACTCTGCCCGAAGATTATTTCTTGTCTTCTTCTGTATGTAAGGCTACATGTTCACGACTAATCATGTCATCATGGTTGAAAACATTGTGTGTGGTCCTAGGAGCTGGAGAATGCAGTGGCGATGGAGAACCTAGAGCTTCAGGAGCAGCAGTCTGACCGCAAGGAGCTGGAGGAGACTCTGGTAAAATTGGAAAGCCATAAAGAAAAGTTGATCCAAGAAATAAAGGAGACCAGGCAGCTGTGCTATGAAGAGAGTCAACAGGTGAGGAGGAGCTGCTTACTTACTTAATCTGGGCTTAGGAATTTAAAGACCAAAGTTGCCTGTTTTTGATGTTTTTGCTAGGATTGTAAAAATGACCCTGTCACTAAATTTAGCTAAAAGTGTCATCAAGGAATTTTTAACACATTTTAATGCATGGATTAAATCCTTAATTCCATCTCTCTGTTGTTATTTATTTTTCTGTTGCCAGTATTGTACAAAAAAATATTTTTGGTCATGTTTAGAATTGTCATAATACATTTAAACTATGATTAATAATGTTTAAACATAATGAATGCACAGCTAACTTGTGGTCAATCAGATTAAAAATATTAAAAAGTTTGGTCGCCCTACTTTTTGGATACATTTTAGATGAGTTTGTGAATCAGCCCCCACCAGCCGGCGCTTCACCTCGACTTCCATTTCTTGCTGACTTTAAAAAGAAAAAACTTAATCTCATCTTTCCGTACAGTCAGTGATTTGAACTAAAGCCTGCTGTTCTGTCAGATCCTGTCCTTGCAGACTGAGGAGGTGAAAAAGGAGAGCCAAGTGGAGGAATATGAGCGGGAACTTGCCAGAGCCAGGTGGAGGCTGAGGCGGCTCAGAGAGGAAGTGAAAGTGGCAAAGAGGAAGGTGGAGGAGGCTGGAGAGAGAAACACACCGCTGCAGGACTCCATCAGACAGTCGTATGAAGAGATCCTGCAGGTACAAATACAGTATATAAAAATCACTTATCTCTATAGATAATATGTGAGTGAATACAGGGAATAATTAATCTATTACTACTTGGAGGAAATCCACGCCCACATGGCCATTCTTCTGTCATGTAGTAGTTAAATTTAGTAAAAGAACAATTGGCTGTACCTGATTTGAATACCTAAATATATAAATACACAATGAACTCATCTGCCACTTGAGTTACACAGAGGAAATGATATGTTCCAAAAATAAATCACCTGATATCTTGTTGTCAACTGCAATCTCCTAAAATACTTTTCGTTTTGTTCTCCTTCCTGGTCACACCTCATTCTGCTTTTTTTGCGTAGGAGGAGAACACTCTGTGTTCTATGTCTGAAAGTGCAGTCACTCCAGAAAGTCAACTGGAGGTGTCAACATCTCCTGCAGACACCACAGAAGATGATCCACTTCCCCTGAAGCCATGGGGAAGGAGTCAGTCACTGCCTGCCTATGCTGACCTGATAATGGTAAAGTCAACACATATACATGAGTATATATATATATATATATATATATGTGTGTGTGTGTGTGTGTGTGTGTGTGTGTGTGTAATTATGACATGATTCCATCATCTTGCATACCATTTTCATCTTAAATCTTTATTTAATGATTTTACCTCTCATGTTTTGCCACCAGAGGGCCAGCAACTCGTCTTTTTGTCAAAATCTGGCAGACACCAGAGAGGAGATCATTGACAGTAGGAGCAGTTCTTCAAAGGTACGCAGAGTTCTCCACAATTGCTCTTCTTTTCTTCGTGCAGAACACAAGTTGTCTCACACAGGGGACTGGAATTATAATCCACAGATGGAAAGATCTGACACAGAGGATGACCCGGAGGAGAATGAAATCAACAACGAAGTTCAGAAACTGGAGGAGCACAGTCCGAAGCCCCTGAGCCAGTTGGACTTCTACCAAGCCAACCCTTTTGCCAACTGTCAGACTGACCGTATGTCAAATATAAATCAAGACGAAATACCCAAAGCAAATGATCATTATTTTAACAGATATTTTAACATACATTTAACTTTGCATGACATGTCAAATACTTGTTTCTGATTCTGGCTCTGAAAACATTCAAAGTTTTGGTCCTTATTTTGAAGTTATCTTTAAAAATGTTCAGCTGTGCAGAATTTTTTGGTTTGAAAATAATTTTCTCTGGATCTCTGTCTTCCACTCTGTTTCTATTAACTTTATTTCTATTCAGATGATCTTTTTAATGACGACATCTTCCTGAAAAGTGATGCATCTGGTGAGTGCTTTTCCTGAGAACATAAAGTTCTAAAGAACCACAAAGGCTGATCCTTCTTTGCTTTATCTTGAGTATTGTTGTTTCACTAACATTTCATGTTTATGAGACCATTAAGTCAGCATGTTAAGACTAAATTAGATCAAATTATGTCTTTGTCAGATGGATTTGCTTCTGATCCTTTCAAAGGCAGCGATCCCTTCGTAGCAGACATTTTGTATCAAGAGCCCAATGTCAGTGCAGTGGAGGGAGCAGGAAATGCTGGTGATGAAGTAGACACCAGTCTGTCCTGTGCTGAAAATAAAGCTTCAACAGGAACTCAGTGCTTTGAGTCAGAATTCCCTGATGAAGACAGTGACATTGAGATCAGCTACAGCCGAGAGGATCTGGACACCATCGGGAATTCGCATGGATTTAAACCCATTCAGAGTTCATCAGATGAGCTGGGACCAGATCCCCAGCAGGGCTGGAGGTCACAGGGGCAGTATTCTGTGGAATCAGACCCCAATGGTTATGAGCTGGACCTTCATGCCCCCACTCCTCCTTCTGACATTGAAGAACAAAGTCTGGGATCATTAGCTGATGAAACTACCCTTCAGCCCCCAGGAGAACTGAAACAGGGTAACTCCGTCTCAGTCTTTTTAAGAAACTTTGCATCTGCTTCACTCTTTACTCAGAATGATTTACTGCTATCTAACAAATAAGGGCCACATTAAGTGTGTATTATATTTTTAAACCTGTCATTTACGATTATAAATTAAGGTTGTATTGTATTCAGTGTTGACATAAGTAGTAAGAGTCTGACCTAATTTTATCTACGAAGTTTGATGTTTTTTAATTAATCTTTTTATCCTGTATCTTTGTTAGTAACCTGACTTTAATGTTCTCTTCTTCCAGATCCAAGTTTTGACCAAATTCCAATGAGCCCTAAACAGAGTCCGGTCAGTGGTTCCTCCAGCCCAGAGGTGGAAAGATTTGATAACAATGAAGAAGAAAGCAAAACGCCAACGGCTCCTGAACCATCTCCTGAATTTTCCCAAAACGCTGAGCCTGATTTACAAGAAAACAAAGAGATTAGCTTTGACTTGAACTATGAAGCAACTTGTCAGTCTTCCTTCGACCCATATGGGTTCAAACTTAGTCCAGAACATTCTAATCATACACTCTTAGACCCAGATGAAGCCTCCTCGAGCCCAGAACCTCCTGAACATGATTTGGCCTTTGACTCAGAACCACATTCACCTCAACCGAATGAGATGAACTTTGATTCTTATGGTTTGGACATCACGTCCCCTCACGCAGACCAAGACTCTGACCCGTATGGCTTCAAGCTCTGTCCTGATGAGCAGAACCAGGAGGTGCTGGACCTCTGTGGCTTTGATTACCAGCCGACAATGGAACAGTGCACTTATGACAGTGATGAGCAAGTAGAACCATATGAATATTCTAATCAAGAAGTACTTGAACCTGACATGGCCAAAAACCAAGAGCTGCCAGAACATTGTAGCCAAAAGGATTTGTACGAGAATGGAAACCAAGAGGTTCTTGACTCCTCCATCGTTGAAAACGAAGCAGTTGTCAGAAATGACAACAATGAACTCCTTGATCTTTTCATTCACGGTAACCAGGAGTTGCTGGAGCCTGGTCACAATACATGTGATGATGAACTTTTAGAGAATTACAATTATGGCAACCAGGAAGTTGTGGAACCTTGTAGTCCTAGTAATAAAGAACTCCTGGAATGTTCTCAAGTTGAAGATCAAGACGCTTCACAGGTAGGAAACCAAGAACTGTTAGACCTTGATAGCAAAGGTGATGAGGAGGCGCCATCTTCTGAAAGCCCTGCCAATGATGAAACTTTGCTGATAAGTGTCAAAATTCCAGAAGTACTAGACTTTGATAGCTATAGCAACATGGGCGTGGAGAGTTTGCTGTGTAAGGAAGGTTCTCCTGAAGCCAACAACAATAACAAGAGCTTTGTAGAACCAGAGCTCAGCTCCACTGATAACAGCTCAGATAGTGACGTGGCCACGAAGGACCTTGGTGGACTAGACTTCAGTAACACCAGCGTGTGCATTCCCAAAACCAGGAACACAACTACCGGTGACATCAGCACAGTTCCATTCAATCAGGTTCTGAATACATACTGCCCTCCCACAATGAACGTGTTAGAGGGTGATCTGAGTTCTGTGTTTGGTGCTGGAGGATACATCGGTTGCCCTGATGTGGCTGATGACCTAGAGCCTCTGGACAAGAGGCAGTTCAAACCAGTCGCAGAGCCAGTGCGACCCACGAGACCCGTCAGGCCTCCTCGACCCTCGCTCAAGGTCAGTTTGAACTTATTTATTTCATATACAGTCCGATTTATTTAGGCAAATTTCATTTAAATTCTGAACAGCAAAAGTGCATAAAGTGCTATAATAAATGTCAAGAGTTTTCTGTCAATCTTCAATTGTTCTTCTAGGTCAAAGAGAAGGCTTCATTCCAGACTCACGGCATCGATCTGAAGTGAACTTCTGCTATCAACGCTGGAGGCCGGTAACCATGTCGGCAGAGTTGACCGCCACATTGTGTGAAGAAGAGTAGCAGATGAGTAAGAAGAAGAGCAAACAGAACTAGACAGACCTTCCTCGGTTTTAGGTGTCGTTGACTTTTATTTGTGTGGAGTTTGCATGTTCTCCTTGTGTGAAATGGAACAGTGACAACAGTGTAGCCTGACCTTCAGCCACAGTCACATGAAATGACTCTCCAGCTCCTCTAGCAGTGTGTTGTATGGATGGTGGTTGATAATAATAAAATGATGAACTAAAAAAAAAAGGATTATATACATATAAACATGTGCCAAGGCAGTCTGACGTAGTTAGTTGTGTTCATTTAGGGTATGAATCTTTATATTTTACAAAATTTTACTGTCACTCATTAGCATTTGTTTTTTCCTTTTTGTGGAGGTTTGAGTTTGGACCTTTACCTTTTATAAATAGATATTTCCAAACAAAAATAAAATCAGTATACATCATATACTCTGCTTTAGCGGTAACAGTGTAGGTGATCTGGTTAACTAGTTTCAGCCTAATTTGAATTAGTGATTTTTTTTTAAATTAATTTATTTTTGTCTACAACGTTGTGAGCTCATCATTTATTTGGAGCTAATTAATTTCCTGTGTTCTGCAATCTGAAAATGTACATAGATGCTAACAGACATTGGATGTACAGCTGCAGGTCAGACAAAGGCAGTAGTTAGCTCAGTCATTAGCACAACACGTACACTTTATTCCCAGTCTAGGCCAGATGTATGCTTAATGTGTCATGATTACAATACAGCCATCTGTGTACAGTGCATCACGTCACCGTCTACCTACCAGGTCACTGAAGTGGCCATCTGGTTATTTTTCAGTTTTCAGGTCACATCTACCTCTTTAATTGTCCGATTCTATGATTGCATGACAACACTGTGAATCCTGTCAGAGTGAACCTTTTAATTTGAAATATCCTGTACTTTTATGTCAGGTGTGCAGTAAGTTCCTGCCACAGGATGTAGCCTACACACTGTAGGTTGGTCACATGCTACAGAGACACTCACTGAAACTCTTCTTGGTGGGTTTTCTATATTTCATCACTTGTTCTGAAGGACAGACTTTTTGTTTTGTTTGTTTGTTTTTGCAGATTTTGCATGAATCCTGGCATCGAGCTGTGCAGATATCATGGTTTACATGCTGCTTTATTGGAAGGGAACAGTAATTCTGGACAAAGTGCATGTACAGGTGTGAACATCCGTCACTGAAACACCGGAAATGTGATCTGCTAACCTTCAGTAGCTGCATCCACAATTAAGTCAATAATCCATGTAAAAACCCTCCTGTCACAGTGTGTCAAATGAGCAGACAGATAATTACACTTATCAGCCCCAACATTATGACTATCATCCCAGTGGCTTTTACTTCTGCTGCCGAAACGCAACTGACTGTGCACTGTGTATTCTAAAGGGGTTCCTTAAGAACCAGCATTAACATCATTAGCATTTTGAGCTACAGTTGCTCAGAGATCCCGTCCACATGGGCCGACATTTGTTCGCTACATGCACCACTGAGCCGTGGACACCGATGACCCTGACACTGGTTTACTGAGTTCCTCTTTAAATACATCCTGACCCCCCCAGTTTTCTCACAGTCATCACAGTTTGGGTCCTGTGACTCAAAACTGTACATTTTCCCAATTTTTCAGTTGCAGTTGCCATTACAAAAAAAAAAAGAAATCAGTGTTTTTACTTTGACCCCTCAATTGTTGTATTATGGCTGATTGGTGTAAAATTCCAATGGGTTCATTTTTTTATTGATAAATTACCATAAATTTGCAGACTTGGATTTTTTTTTTACTTAATTTTTTTTTGTTTTCTTTATAAATCCTCAAATCATATGTGTAAAGTTACTGTATAAATTACAAAATGAAATGAAACAAAAAAACGTACTGATAAAAAACCTGCCGAAAAATATACTGTAAAATTTTGTTAAATATGAAAAAAAAAATATGATGTAAATATTTCATTTCACAACTGTATATTGTCCGTATGTGCTAAACCGGTGCTGATGTAAAACAGTGAGCCATGAGATGTTTGTGATTGTATGTTGCTTGACGCTCTGTTGTCCATGGAGAAACTCTCTGCTCTCTCTTTCTCTGATCCTAATTAAACCTGTTCTCTCTCAACGACCAGAGCCACAGACGAATCCACTTTAGTTCCACTAGGTTTGTCTTGTCTCGACACAGAACATATCCTTCAGGTTCATATAGATTCATCGTGACATTTTTGACGGTAAGCTCCCATTTCTTTTAGAAATGTCTCTTGTGTCATCTTTTTATTGGTTGTTTTCACCAAAGTTTGGTAGGAACTGTTATTCCTCCTGCCTTGTTGCTCCTCTAGGATGACGCTCTGGGTCCATGAGAGCAGACATGCTCCTTCATCATCCTGTGACATTTCTGAGGAAGACGAGAGGTCTCTGTCGAAACCCCACACCTGTTTGTCTGAATATACAGTAAGAACCCTGGATGATATGATCCACACTGTTTTCCGTCTTATCTCTAGAAATTCAAAAAAAAATTCAAATGGAACTTGAATGCATTAGGTTTGCTAAAAATGCTTCTCATTGAAGCTTCATTAATTTTAACAATTAGTAATTAGCTGCTAAAGAATGAATATTTAAAAATATGAAAAAAAAAATCACCAAATTATTGGACGTTAGTATTTTCCAAGTCGTAGGGTGTCAGAGCCACCACAAGAGGGAGACATAAATCAGACTTAAGAAAACCAGAGTAAAAACAAATCAATCAATAAAGTGAAAATTAAATAAAATAGGGTGAAATTATGGAGAAGGATTAAGTTGTGTTTCAAACACAATATGGACTGGGACTTTTTTTTTTTTTCAGAAAAATTGGACAGTACAGAGAGAAAAACAAATCTACATTAACGAGGTACTAATGCCTGAGGTGTTTCTACTTGGTCGTTTCGCTTCCGTCGGCACCATCTACAACAGAGTACAGTCACAGCAATGATGATGACGAGGACCACGAGAAGAATGGCCACTGCACCAACCCACACTCCAACACTCAGCTCTGCAGGATCAGACACAGGACAAGGTAACAAATCATTTCACCTTAAATTGTTATTACAGTAACATAGTTTATGGCTAGAAGTAAAGCAAACTATATCACAAAAAAACACTGCATCACTGTGATCCAGCATATCAACCTGCTGGAACTGGTACTCTTGAGAGTTATCTTCTTTTTAAAGCCTCTCTGCCCCTTGTGTTCTGTGGTAGTTGGATGTGTTGACGTACCGTGCAGGAAAGTCCTGGGACCTGTTACACACAGCTGCTTACTCCAGGCCCCCAGCTGTGTGCTTTTGGGTCTGGAAGGTATAAAAGCCGCAACCATGAAGCAGTAACCCTCCTCCGTATCAAGGTTCGGCACCTCGGTCACACTGGAGTCAGACACAATGTCTTTCTGTCACAGCAGAGAACATTACAAAATGACAAGATTTCTTTAAACTTCTAAATGCTTAATTCTGACCACAAAATATACGATACTGTGTCTACTACAGTATTTCTGGAGGTTGTACCTTGCCTGTGCTTCCAGACTTGTAGTAGCTGATCTTGTACTTCAGGTCTTTTCTGAAGACATCTCTGATGCTGAGCTGTTTATTGTTCTCATGAATCCCAGTGAGAGGATCAGTGATGTTGACAGCCACTGTGCGCTTGTTCACAATGTGCACCGTGAAGTTTGCAGCACTGATATTACCTTAAGAGGATGAAATCAACATTTATCTGATTACAACACAGTTAAGTCAACTAACTCTAAACATAAACCAATCCTTTAATTCCCTCTTTTACCAGGAGTCAGATTACAGAAGTATTAATAGCATTTTTGACAAAGTCCTTTCAAATCTGTCAGTGCTTTGTGTTTGAACACTGAATCGTGTTTGTTGTGCTCGAGGGACTGTTTCTCTGAGTCATACTCAGCTTTGGTTTTTTTTTCTCATCATCTGTTACCAATTACTGTAGCTCCTTACCCTGGAATGTTGTATTTAGATGGTACATAGCATTCCCAAACTTTTCCACCCTGTTAGTGCCAGGTGGAAATGTTCCTGTTCAAAACATCTTTCCTCAAGTTTGAAAATATGCATCGACAAACCAACTAGATAAGCAGTAAAGTTGGTTGTGTAACGCGTTTGCTTCCTGATAAAAGAAAATGTTGTTGTTGGCTTATATAATTAATACTTAGGTGCAACGCCCTCTCCTGGCTAAAGTAACATTATTTGAGGCGCATGAATTGCTTCCAATGTATGACTGAGCTAAAATGTACATACTAGAGTTTGTTAGGGTTTAATTATTTTATTTTATTACTTAAATCCTTGGAGTGTGTTTTGTTGAACAACTCTTAAATGTTCTTTATATTGTAAATACAATTGGAATTGGTGCAGTTTATGTCCTGCCCACTTTTATGCTTTCCAGACTCGACTACTCCTACATACAGGCTCCTCGTAAAACTTCAGTGTGTCCACATCTCTGCTGCTCAACGCTGACTCATACATTCTATCATAACAACATTGCTCATGTCCTTCAGCGGCTCAACGTTGGCCTTCTGCACCGTGCTGCGTACAGATCGTGTCTCTCCCTCTCACACACCAAACCGTCCTCTGCCTTCCATCATATCTCTCAGTCCTCCTTCACATCCACACTACTGCGTGCTATCTTAGCCCGTCTGATGCAAACCTCCTGTTTCCACAGCCCTGGGCTGAGCAGTGAACCTGTAAACTGCAGTTTCACTTCATCACGGCCGTTTCATTTTTAATTATTCGTTTGTTATTATTTGTACAGCTTTTATGAGTATCCTCTAAAACAAAAGCAGAACTAATCAGATCATCACCAGTAGTAGAAGTATTAGTTGTCTGACGTGCATGTTTTTTACTGCAGTGATCAATCATCCTGTAGTATTACATATAAGATTTTTTTTGATGTGTCATCGTCAGTAGTCATTCAAAGTGTTGCTTGCGTGAGGTGTGTGTTGCAATACCTACTTTGTTTGTAGGGGTTGAATTCTGGTGAGTATGTGTGAGTCAGTTCCTCTGGGTCATGGTTGTAATCCATTTCCACATGTTCTGTTTGGATGTCAGCTGTGTAGGTCCTGTCCATCAAACCCACATTGACAAACATTGGAGTCAGAGATATGAGGTAACATCAAAAAAGGAAATACATAGCCTGGTTTGTAAAATCCCTCTCGCTGTTCTTCTTAGAAACACACTTTAAATTCAACTTATTAATGTGTAAAGTATTATTCACAGTGACTAGGACTAAACATGTGCTCATGGAGATCCTTGGAAGTTATTTAATCACTCTCTGAGAGGACAGAACGTTAGAGGTTGGCAAACTGATGAATCAAGTCAAGTTGAACGTCATCTTTCATTGGTGATAAAAGTATAATCCACATATACTGTACCTGTTGAATGGTCTGAGGAGGTTGGTCATGTCACATTCCATCTCTGACAGTTGCATACAGTCTATATGTTCAATCCAGTCTGCGCCAGCCCTGCGAGATCATTTAAAAACAAATTATGAGGGAAACTATAGACTACAGTGCAGTATAAAATCAAAGTTGAAAATAAAAAAAACTGACTTCTAATCAGTTGTTTTAATTTAAAAAGCATTAATTAATTTAGCATTAGTCATTTAGTAAAGTTTGAGGGAGTAATTTAACTGAAACTTTCAAAAGTTACGTTTTGGAAAACAAGACAATATTCTGAACCACTTCAGTTGAAGACGTACAGTAACACGGTCTTTTCAGTTAAACTATAGAAGGAGCTGGATTTCAGCAGATGCCACTTTAGTATGTAATAAACCTCTTCAATAATTTCAACATTCAAGTTTGGGCAAAAAAAAATATTTTTTTTGGTGAAAGTCTTGAGAGATATGTCTGTTTTAATGATTTAAATGTGATACATTTTGACTTAGATTTTCTGCTGCACAGTTTTCATGACAGAAAAGACAGTGAGACAAAAAGACTGTGTATTTGTGTGTATGTGGTCACCTTGAGTAGAGTACAGTGTAGGTGTAGCCCATCATTGCCTTGCTCTCCCAGCGGAGGATGGTTTTAAAATCCAAAGATGTCCAGTGAACATTCTCTGCTTTGGGCACATCCTCTGTGACTGAAATGTTCAACAACAACAAACTTCATCAGTCTCCAAAGGGAACCTGATATTT